GGCAAAATGGTATACTGGATGAGGTCTGGAATTAGCTAAGCCTGAATGTAAATTCTAATTTTACTACTTAGCAAGTATGGCCTTGAAAAAATTGCTGGTTTCTTCAATGGGTTAGTAAAATACAATAAACTCAATAAATGACATCTTTAACCTAAAAGGTCATGTAATAACTATTTCTGTAAGTTAATAATGTATTTTACCACATTTGAATGCTTCAGAAATCAGAATGTTATTTTTATAATAAGTATCACAGGAAATGTGCCAGCTTCTCACTCTAGCACTCCTCGTCCCACAGCTGTTATTAAATTGAGGAGACATTTTATTTTATAATTTTTATGTTCAAAAAATCATGGAATTAGGCTTATGGCATAATAACTGTGACTTTTGGAACTCTCCTGTGGTAAGCACAATTTTAGATCCAAATTCCCTTATTAACTATGGGTCACTGTCACTGTCACTGTCACTGTCCTACCGTTGTTCATCGATTTGCTCGAGCGGGCCCAGTAATGTCTCCATTGTGAACTATGGGTGTCTTGTATAATAAAGAAAGAAGTCAAAATTTTCATTGGGTCATATTCTCCCTTTGCAGGTGGACAGCCAATTTGGGTCACTAATTTAATGGTCATGAAGCTTAAATTTTCAGCTTCCCATGGTCACTGGCCTCTACTAATGTTCTAGGAAGGTAATATGCTCTTGTAGTCACATATATTTCTAAAATATACTAATTTGCTTTGTTTTCTTTCTCTTAGCAAGATCTCCAAAAGTCATAATCCCCCATGAATGTCATTCCAAGATATTTATATGAAGTGTTTTGTATTTGGGGTCTTCTTGCCTCTCAAATACTTCTTTGGACTCTGTTCATCTTTCCATTCCATCATAACTTGATCTTGGGAAAGGAGCAAGTTTGATATGAAAATCTTAGTATGCGTGCCAACCAATGTAGTTTACTCTCCTCAGGGTATTTGCATTATGAATTATCCTCCAAATGTAAAAGTAAATGTTAATTTTCTCAAATAAAAGATATGGCATTAGCAAGCTGACTGAAATGTTTCTTTGAGCTACCTCCTAGACTTTTTTTTAACCTCCAGGTACATATCCAGAAGACACTTTCTACTATGTTTACATATAAGCATAGACTAAGCTATTTATAGCTACCTATGTCAGTTTCTATCTATTCATCACTATGCTCTGAAGTTAACAGATTATATTTTTCTGCATGTGACATTAGAGACCACAGGCCTGATGTGTTAGAGACAAAGAAAATATTACTTTTGTGTTTCTACCACCCTTCCACTGTTCATTCACCTTATCTTCTCTGACTCCCTCTAAAATTTATGAAGCATCTGCCAAGTCATAGACTTTATTGTAGGCAGGCACAGGGTTTGAAATAAACATTCAACATTATTGAATTAATGAGAGAATGACTCAAACACTGTCCTGTCATGATAGCACTCTTATTACACAGTATATATTATAGAAATGTTGCGTCCATTTCAATTTTCTTCATTATAAAAGGTTAATATTACCATGGTACTCATTTTCTTTTTGGTGTTTGTGTTTTGGGTGACAACTCGCAGTGCTCAGGGGTTACTCCTGGTTCTGCACTCAGGTACTATTCCTGGTGGTGCTCGGGTGACCATATGGGATACTGGAAATCAAACCAGGGTTGGCCACATTCAAGCAAAAACCCTACCTGTTGTACTATCCCTCTGGCCCTCACTGCCCTCATTTTTCATGTACTTTGAATTAATCCACGATCCTCAATAATAACTGTTACTGAGCAGGATCCAAACTCATGAGTGTCTGACAGATTACTTCTAAGAAGGCTGACTTCAGGCTCAGCCCTGCTGAGAGATAAGCCACAAAAGAAAAATTCAAATCACAAAGGTCATTTTGCATAGTAATACTTTGAAATCTGGGGACACAATTTCAGTTCATATCATCATCATCTGCATTTTGTATGTACTATGTGAGAAAAAAATTGATTTTACAAAAAATGATGATAAATGTTATTTTTGTTATCTGTTTTACACTGACTTAATAAGAGATTCAATAAGTAAACAACTGGAGGGTTGACTAAAAATATGCTTTTCAGAAAAATGTATTAATTATTCCAAAATTCTTATTTATGCTATTGCCACATTTGTTCCTATGGTTCTGCAAATAAGATATACAGGGAAAAGTGTCATAATGTGACTAAATTTACTGAAATTTCAAAAGAAAGTTTTCTTTATTAAATATAACTAGTAATCATAAACTATATTAACAAAAACAGTAAGTGTCATACTTTTAACCACATAAACCATTTCTTCCACCTTTTGCATGTCCTAAAAATTAGCACCTTAGCACCTTATGTATACTCTATAATATGGAGTCACGATTTTATAATAATTGATATTTTAATTAACTAAACTATTTCCAATTAGACCATATTGCTAATGAGGATAAGCATCACTTTTGTTTTCTTACCATTTTACCGTCAGAGGTCTGGAAAATATAAAAAATATTACAAACAAATGAAGGAAGGAAGAGGAAAAAAGAAGGAAGGGAAGAAGGAACTTTTCAAATAGTAGGGCAGCCAACAGTTCAATTTAGTGTTCAAAATTCATCATAGAGACAGTATTTTTGAAAATAAAAATAATTCTCTTATGACTGGGATTTCACCAACTCTTTCCTGTACTTATTGAATTGCTGAAAATAATATAAAAAGTGTTATTTCCTCCTCTGATTCCTCTAGGAGATGAAGATACAAACTGTAGAGTTCAAATGACTGAAGCCAAAGTGGTTCTTCTTGGTTTTATGTCATTGTTTTGGAGTTGGCCCAGCTATCCACACTATACCATCTGCACTGTATCCTACATTTCTCACTTTCCATCTGATTATTGCCTGCACTGTGATTCTTGACTCTTTTCCTTGACTCATCTCCCAAAGTACAGATGATTATCCTCATTCTAACTGAAGGGGGAGAGTGTGTGGATCATTCAAAGAAGAGGGTTGTCCAAATATTGTCTCTACATTTCAAACACATCATGAGGATTTCACATAACCAGAATTCACCCACTGCTCCGAAAACTGAGAATTCTATAAGTGGCAGTCCAAATTTGGAAACCACAGCTGCTTTTAGGGATTGAGTCATTGCCTTCCAGGTGCCAAAAATATCACCTATCATAGTCTCCAGGGTTCAAAGAAAGAGGAAAGAAAGAACAAAAAGCAAAGAACAAGTTGAGGATGAAGGTAACATGAAGTTTCTCCAGTCACATAAATTATTATTAAGAATAATTATAAAAACTACAATAATGCTAATACTAGCAATAAGGACCAGCACTCAATAGCAATGAATAAATGAGTGTCTAAGTTCCCTAAGTAGAAAGAAGGATCGTGTTTTTATTTTACAAATTAAGATACAAAATTCAGAGAATTTAAATGAATTGTCCAAGGTTTTACAGCTAAGCCTGATCCATCATTAAACTAGTTTGGGGACTTGCAAGAAAGCCGTCTGGCCTCTCTGGGTCAGCCTGTACCCTGGACTCTACTTCTAATTTCCTTCCCACCCACCATGGACTTCAAGAACAGCCAAAGAAATTTTTTAAATTTTTTCATTAGTAGTTAATGTTTATAGAAGTATTGTTGGTTTATAACACTATTAATACTTTATAAATATATTTTCATGCCTCTTCAAATGTATGCTTCTATACCATGCATGCCACCTAAGTATCAATAAACTTCATTGAAAATATGTTAGATTTCCTCTATCTTTTGATTCTCATCTCCCCCCACCCCCCCGCCCCAGTAATCTCAGTTCTTCAGTCAGAATCCAAGACTTGACTTTAGTTTGCCTTTTACATTGTTCTCTTGCTTTGTTATTATTGTTTTTATATCGTATATATGAATGAATTCACTTGGTATTTTTCCTATTTTTTCCTATTTTCGCTTTGCATAATACCTCTTCATGGTATCCATGTCACAGCAAATTGAAATATTTTATCTTTTTTATAGGTTAATAATATTCTATTTTGTATATGTACCACATCTTCTTAATTCACTCATCTGTCACTGGGTACTTGGGTTGTTTCCTTTTCTTGGCTGTGATAAATAGCACTGTAATAAATATCACAGTAGATACATTTTTGAATATTTTTACTGTGTTTTTGTATTCCTCAGGTAAATACAAGAGGATAATTTCTTGATTATTTGTTACATATTGAATATTTGAAGAAATCTCCATGCCTTCCATAGAGGCTGAACCACTATGCTACCAACTATAAGGGTTCTTTTTTCTCCAAACCCTAATCAGACTTTTTATCTCTGGTTTGCTGATATGTGCCATTCTCTCAGGTATGAACTGAAATCTCAGCGGAGCTTCAATTTGTGTGTCCTGATAATCAATAATGATGAACATTTTTTCATAAGTCTTTTTTTTTCATATATCTGTAGGTTGTCTTTGGAGAGTTGTCTATTCAGTTTTTCTGTTGGTGTTGTGTTTTGTGAGTTATTTTTATAACTTGTATATTATCCCTTGTCAAACATACGGAGTCTAATTATCATTCTTCCATCAGTGAAACATCTTTCTTTTGGGGAGGGAGCACACCCATCCTGTGATGCTTAGGATTTACTCCTGGCTCTGCACTCAGGCTTCACTCCTGGCAGGCTCTGAGACAATATAGGGTGCCACGAATAAACACAGGTCAGCCGTATGCAAGGCTGACCCACTCTACACCTGTATACTATCACTCAGATTCTGAAATATCTTTCCATTTAATGATAATTTCTTTCACCATGCAGAAGATTTTCATTTTGATGAAATCCTTTTGTTTATTTTTGCTTTCACTTCCCTTATAATTGGAGTCAAGACCCAAAGACATCACTGAAGCCTATATCACAGAGTGTATGACCCATGTTTTCTTCTGTGTACTTTAAATTTTCTATGTATTTCAAAATATTAGATTTGATAATACGTTTTATATGTTATCTGTTTTGACTTAATTTTTGTGTCTGGTATAAGACAGTGGTCCAATTTCACATTTTTTATTTTGTTTTGCTTTTGCGCAGGGGCCATGCTAATCTTCTCTGTATCGTCCCAATATTAGTATATGTGCTGCCGAAGCGAGGGCTGGAGCGATAGCACAGTGGTAGGGCGTTTGCCTTGCATGCAGCCAATATGGCCAACCCAAGTTCGATTCCTCCGCCTCTCGCGGAGAGCCCGGCAAGCTACCGAGAGTATCTTGCCCGCACGGCAGAGCCTGGCAAGCTCCCCGTGACGTATTTGATATGCCAAACACAGTAACAACAAAGTCTCCAATGGAGACGTTACTGGGCCCACTCGAGCAAATCGATGATCAATGGGAGGGCCTTTACTTTACTTACTTACTTTGCTTTTGCATGTGGTATTTCAGTTTTCCTAGTACCGCTTGTTGAAGAAAACTTGGTGACCCCTCTTTAGCTTTCCAGCACCAATTTCCCCAAGACAAATTAGTGCCTAGAACATTCTGGACTGTGGTAAGAGACACTCATCCTAGAGGCCCTAACAACTGGCAGAAAACTGCTGCAGACAAGGGAAAGTCTGACATCACATGTGTCCCCCAAGCAATATTAGCTATTGCCCCGGAGTCTCCTGAGTACCACTGGGGTGGACCTGGTGGTAATTGGTACCATAGGCCATAAGCATTTCTGCATCCTCAGGCCCTAGCATCAACTGCTGGATAGCCAAGTATCAGAGAGAGTGACCCATAGGCCCCTAAGCATTCTTGAGAACCCAAAATGACCCTCTACCCCACATACACCAAAAAAAAAAGTGTTAACTTCCTCTCCACTCAATGATCTGTTAACCTTGGTGACTGTCTCAATAAACAGACTGTGGATGACAGGGTGCCCTGTGACTTCTGAGGTTGTGTAAGTCTGGGAATCTAACCTAGACCTCCTGCAAGGAAAGCATCAACTAAGTGTTTTGAGCTATCTCACTGGCCCTCCACAGCTAATTTTACATATGTATCATTCATTTACCAGTCCCTTCTTTATTCATTGTTTTCATATTGAAAAAGGGTCTGCTTCCTCATGGGATATGGGAGGATCTGGTCCCTCTCTTCCCTCCACCCCATGGGACCCTGAGATAACACCCACCAACTGCTTACTACTAAGCTCTTTAACGGCCATGATCCAGAGACACTTAAAAGAATCTTGGAACCGAGAAGCTCACTGCAGAGATCTCTCAAGACCCTAACTATCAAAATTTTAGAATTTCAGGAGCTTGCAGCCATGAGAACAGCTGCGTGACATCATATGCTATTCATAAGAAGCAAAACAAAATAAATTGTCTAGCATTGACTCTTCAGCAGGTCTGAGTAGTGGCGGGAAAATTCCAAATAATAATGGTGGGACTGGCGTCAAAATATTAAATGTAATCAAACTAGAGAGAGAGTATTGTGGAAATTGTCTGCCACACAAGCAAGGGAAGGTTTGGGATGGGGGGAATACTGGGAACTTTGGTGGTGGAAAATGTGCACTGGTGGAGGGATGGGTCATTGTGTGACTGAAACTCAAACATGAAAGCTTTGTAACTGCATCTCATGGTGATTCGATTAAAAAAAAGGCCTGCTTCAAAAACAACACAAAGAGAGAACTGATTAACACAACTGAGTTGATGGAGGAAGGGGATTGAAAGGGACATAGTTGGGGGCCTTGGTGGAGGGTGGTGGGTACACTGTGATAGATGTGGTGTTAGAATTACAGGAATCCATCATGAGCAGTATTGTAAATCACAGACCCTCAATCAGTAAAAACGTTTTAAAGTAAATTACAATAGGGACCAGAGCAATAATCCATCAGGTAGGGCACTTGTCTTGCCTTGCACAACTGGATTCAATCCCTGGCACTCTATATGGTACCCCAAGATGCCAGGAATGATCTCTGAGAGCAAGAAGTATGCCCTGAGAACAGTTGGGTGTGGCTCAAAACCAATAATAATAGTAATAATAATAATAATAACATTACATTTCAAAAGACTGCTTATTTAAATTTTCTACAAAATTTTGGTTAATTGGATCAAGAAATTGAGCAGAGTTTAGTGTTCAAAACCATATGGTAGAAAAGACCTGGAAAAGGTCTTTCTTGGAAAGGACCTAACTAGGCAGCCAAAAGTTAGGTATCACCATTTTCTCAAGGTTTCACAGAAGTTTTGGACATAACAAATCCTCACATTTAAGGAGTAGCTAATTCCATATATCTCAAATTGTGCTATACATTGAGTAGACTCACTCTTATGAGCAGAGATGCCTAGAATCCATTCTAGACATACCAAATCAGAACGTCTGGAGTGAGAATGGAAACTCTATGAGTGAGTTCTGGTGATTCTGCTTGTACTTAAGTTTGAGAACCCTGGACCAATAATGTCTTACTAACAGGATTTATAGGTAACTGCATGATATAATATGGCTTCCCCTACATGTCTATTAAAGAAAGATGCTACTTAGCTGATTCCAAGCCACCTTGGAAAAGTGCAAATATGGTTGAGAAATGCCAATACCTCAGACCAGAAAGTAACTGAATAAACCTTTGCCCTCCCCATCAAAAAAAAAAAAAATCAAAAGAGTAAAGTAAACCTGTTCTTTCCCTTAAGAAACTGAGGAGATTAAACATATTTGTTATTGAAATGTAGCTTTTCAACCTTGATATGGCACATCCAGATCCTTCTCAATGTAAAGACAATAAACATCAGTTGGGAGAGGATCACAGTCTGGACTGTGACCAGTTGACAGCCCTAGTTCCCACAGTGCTGAGTCCAGCTGGGACCTTGTGAACTTTCCCTTATCTCATCCCCAAAGTCATTCTTTTTTTTCCAAGGAGAATTTTACTCACTTTCTGAATTTTCCTAATCTGGTCAGAGAGTGTGTCTAACAGGCGAGTTTTCAGGAAGTCCATCACCTTGACCACCCGGCCATCAATGTAGCAACTGGAATAAAAATAAAATAAGGATCAGATAAAATCTCAGGAGACTATAAATATACTTCTCTTGCCAGAGGTCTCTGTTGCCTGAGAAACAACCCAGGGTTCACTTGGGGGCTCTCATACCCTTAAAAGATTTGACCCTGGGTTCTTTTCAAATGATAGGTTTTTAATCTTAATCATTTCCACCCCCATTTGTGAGATGATATTGTGAACGTTTTCTCTTCTCAATCTTTTTCATGTGAAACTGCAGTGCTTTGTCTATAGGAAATAATAGCAATTCATAACCACTTGGCAATGGGGACATTTGACTATTTGGCAATGGGGAAAAGTTTATTTCTTTTCTCCCAGAAAAAAACAATTTAGCTCCATCCCATGCCTTCCCTATCCCCACTTTAAAGTAATGAAAGTATATGGAAGAAAGAAGATGCAAGCATTTGATAATTTCCATACCTTTAAATAAGAAAACAAATACAACTGCAAAAACCTGCTTTAGGGCAATGAGTGGGTCTCAAAACTCACTTCTCTGAGCAAAACACCTAGTAGCTAACATTCTCTGACCATCCCCAGAATAAATGGATAGATGGATGAACAAATAATATGGGGATATTAAAATCTAAGACTCCTCTCCTGAAATAATACAACTTTGGCATTCACTGCTATAATGATATCTGGATTGTATTTCATTAAGGTGATAGATCAGATTGTTCTAATTCTATATTCTGAACAATTTTACCATAATAGATACAATAAACTTTGTAAACACACCCCTCCCACACACACACACACACTCCAACACGCATATTTTAGTAGATTTTGTAAAGATTAAACTGGTCCCAGATTAGGCAAACTTCATTATTTTAAACCTGCATATTCCTATCATTGGAAGGCTCCAAATTAAATCAATTTAAGTTATTGCTTTGACTCCTGGGTGTCTTTAGAAACACATTAAGTCCTCCTTAACTAATGTCTAATGATAGATTACTTCATTTTTAATAAGACACCAATCAATTAGTATATAATATAGAACTACAGGAAAATTTTCTTAAAAGCTAAATCCTGACTCCACTATGTGATGTGGTAGAACGCTTCTATATTTTTTAAATTTTAGAGTGGGTACTCCTGATACATTGCACCCACTCAGCTTTCCCCTTGGCCTTTCTCATCACTTTAACATTTTTCACAGAAGCCCATGTTGAAGTCGCTGGTATGGTAGGAAGAGAATAGGTTTTGGAGACAGAGAGATATCTGAGTTCCAATTCCAAATGAGCTATTTGCTATCTATATACGCTTGAACAAATTACTTGACCTCTGTAGGTCTCAGTTTTCTCATTTTTAAAAAAGATGATAAAATATCTACTTCTCAAAATTAATTGAAGATCAAGAAGATAACAAAAATAAAATAACTGACATGCACTGGCCCTCAACAACTCAGTTCTTTCTAATTTCTTTAGTTTTCAGCAAAGATAAGATAAAAAAAAAAAGCAGAGAACTGATAAATTAAATTATTCGCAAGTATAGAATCCTAAAAGTAGAATTTCTATGTCAAGAATACATGCTTTTCGAATGATATTTGTGGCCACCAACATTAGAGAATGAGACAACAGTTACCTTAATCTTCTTCCTATCAGTACTCTACTCTCAGCACCTTTGATTTTGTTAAAGGTTATTATTAGAGGGAATACTACATAAAGCTAGGCATATTAAAAATAATGTTAAAATTAAAAATAATTTACTCAATGGATTTTGTTTGTTTGGGGGACATACCCAGTGGGATATGACTCAGGGGGTCACTCGTGCTGGTGCTTGGGGGACCAGAGGCGAAACCCAAATCATAAGGCAAGTACCTTATGCATTGTATTATATCTCTGTCCCAACTTATGAATATAATCTAACACACTTATGGATATGAATTCTGGCTACTATATTACATGACAATGAAATATATGATGAAAAGTAAATTAATTGTTCTTTAAACATAAAATGTCCTCATTTCTCTTTGTTAGCTCCCGGGAACTATTTTAAACATCAGTGCTCATGATTTTTGCTGGTAATACATATCAGTTAATGTGTATTGAGAGAAAAATGATGGATACAATTTTTCTTTTTTTTATCATTTTTTTTATTAGTGAAACACCATGAAGTACACTTATAGACTTATAAATTTTTGTGC